ATCAGAACTAAAATATAGTGTGCTTATAAAGAGGGTGTGATTATATAAGGTGTGATTGTAGAGAGGGTCGACTGTATAGTAAAAAGAGTCTAAAATAATATTTAGAGTATTAAAAAATAACCAATACTAAATAAAAAAGCTGTAGTAAAATAGTATATTACTATTTATAAATAATATTATTTAAATAAAAAATACTAAATTTAAAAAATCTAGATAATTATAATAATTTTGTTTATTTAATCTTTAATATTAAATAATTCAATTTAAATTTCTTTAGTAAAACTTTTTATTATAAAGAATTAAAGATTTATATATCAAAATATAATATTTAATTTATAAATAACTTTTTAATTAAAAATTATTACAACTTTAATTATTGTAATTATATATGATTGATTAATAATTATATTTTATTTATTTTTATAATATATTTTTGATTTTATTTTTATATAAATTAAATTAATTAATTTATAATAAAACTAATATTTATATATTGAATTATAAAATTAGTGTATTATAAATAATAATTAATTTATCATATAAAATGTAAAATTTAATTATAACCTCTGATTTTTATTACATTGCTGATCTTAGCCGAATTCGAATAACAATTTAAAAAGTTCTATTTCTTTAATTAAATCTAAATAGTCTTGAATCTTATAAATATAAATTCTATTTAATGAAAGAATCTTAATTAAGACTGATACTTGTGTAACAATCTCCTCAGTATGATCCCTTAAAACATTTATATATATGAAACATGTTTAAAATTTGTTCAATTGGATGATTAATTATTGCTAATTGCAGCTAAGAAACTAATTAAAAAGAGAACTGTGTTCTAAAAATAAATGTCGTGTAACGAAATTAACCATATTAATTATAATGGGTGAAGAGTTCAAAGTAATTAAAGTAATTAATCTTTTATTTTGACTTTCGCCAAAAGATTTAAACTTTTAAGAGCAATATCATTCATGTGTTTTATGTGAAATATTAACCCTTTAAATACAAGTTATTTTTGTTCTCCTTAAATACAGATTCTATAGTAAAATATGAGATAATAATTTGCATGTCTTGATATGGATAAGGGTATTAAAACGAGAAAAAAAGGAAACCCTGGTAAATTGTGCATGATTATACATGCTGCCAAGAAAGGTACTACGTCCCCACATTTAAAAAAATGATATAAATAGACAATAAACACAATTTCAAAAATGTTTCCTAATAACCAATATAAATTTAGTACCACTGCGCTGATATTAAATATCGATGAAATGCTTTCTAGCACCGATAGTACAAAACGATAGCCGCACAAAGAAAGTATTAAATTTTATCCCGCAAAAATACTGTGGCCTTAACTTCCCTTCTTTCCTAAATTACATATTTTTATTCCAACCTCTTTGATTAGAGAGTTTTCGTTCCTTATTATTATAGTTTATCACCTTAAAAACACATTTAAAAATAAACTATAAGAATATTCTAATATATGCCCACCATGGAGGTGATACCCTCCACGTCTCGTTTATTATTTTTGTTAATATCTTCATTATTTACTCTAATATTAACCAGAGGTAGGATATTTTAGTTTCTATACGAAGCCTTCTGAAATTATTATTCTTTTTTGGTTTCTTATGTTAATTAATACTTTATCATTTAGCGCATAGTTTGGCTCCAAATCCTTTGAGTTATTTGGAATTCATTGGTAATCCTAGCATAGAAATTCTTCCTAGGAATATACCTGACCATTCTGAATCGTCATCAATAGTACGTAGATATATAGAGGATGATGGCCCATTGAGATACGATGATTCCATGAGAATTCAATTTATTGCGTTCAATCGTACGTTCAGCATTCATCTCGAGCCTAATTTAGATTTATTTCATCCGGAAGCCACGATCACTATACATCATTCTAATAATTCTAAAACAACTACGAGACTAAGGCATGAAGACCACAGACTATATAAGGGAGTCGTGCTGGACATAGACTCAACTGACATTAGGTTAAATGAGGACATAGTTGGGTTTAAAAGAAGAAGCTTATCGGAAGAACTATCTTATTCATCAGGTGTTCTTGGATGGGCAAGAATTCAAGTTCATGATGATGGCGGGTACGCTAGAGTTTATTTTTGAAATCTTAGTATATATATATGTGATAAGCTACGAATAATAAGTCGTTAGAAAAAATTTTCTTTTTTCCGGTGCTTATTTTATCAAAAAGGCATAACGCATAACGCATATCAAAATTTTCTTTTTTAAAAAAGTCCATTTCCGTACACGGGTCCAAATTGCTCAACTCGTTTTGATCTTTAATGGCTTTTTATATTTATTTATTTATTTATGTATCAAAATTTTTGTATTAACTTATATTATTTTTTTCTTATATTTCACTTTAGAGTGACTATAAATAGGTAATATAGATATAATTTTTTTTTTTTGGTCAAAATTTGATTTCATGCTACGTAAAAAACCAGTTGCTAACTAATATTATATATTTTTTCAACAAAATGTAGCAACAATAAGCGACATCCTACCTTTGAAGGAACATTTATTTTACATAATGAACTTTATCATATAAAATCTATCGAAAATTATCAATTAACTAAATTCAAAGACGATCCGGAGATACCAAATCCATCTGCACGTCATGATGCTCATAAATTATCTACGATGGTTATTTATCGTGAATCAGACGTTAAAAAGGTTCTTTACAATAAAAGATCATCTTCAGATGTAGAATCTTGTTCAATGGAAGATGTTGTTGGTGCTGACAGCCTACGTCGTAATCGTATCGCACATGGTGACTTTTTATCGTTTAATTCTAATGAACAGTTTGGTAGTTCATGGTGGAACTTAAAAATGGGGAGTGTTTTTGAAGATAAGCATAAACTGTCGAAAAGAGACGTAACGGGTTGTCCAACTGGTCGAAAAATTGCTTACATGGCATGTATACTTTTTTTAAAGATAATTATTTTCATAATTTTTCGTATTCATATTTACATTGTGTGAACTGTTTTGATTTATTATAATAGGGAGCGGCCGCCGATTGTACATATGGTTAGTAAAAATTCGTTACTATTCCGTGTATCTAGAATATCCAGTTATGGTATACTAACAAAATAAAATTTATAGTCGGTAATTATAAATCTCCCGATGCTGCTCGAAAACAAATTCTTCAGAATTGGGGCACTGCCTCGGCTGTTTATGAAAAGACTTTTAATGTGACTCTTGGTCTTATTAAAATTGAGATCCTACCCCAACAATGTCCTCAGACTACTGACCCCGCATTCCCATTTAATCGACAATGTGAAGATAAATATACTATAAATGATCGACTTAGTGATTTTAGTCAATGGAGGGGAAAAACTCGTAAGTAACAAAATATTTTTAAATTAAATTAAAATTTATTTTTATATATATAATATATTTTTTTTTTTTTAAAAAAAAAAAAAGCGGGTGATGGTGCGGGTTTATGGCATCTTATGTCCAAGTGCAAGTAAGTTTATGATTCGTTTTCGCATTAAAATTTTTTTTTTTTTAAAAAAATTAACCTATGGCATCATAAAACATCTTAGTACCGGTACAAAAGTTGGCGTTGCGTGGTTAGGACAATTATGTAAAACAGAATCAACCCTTCAAGGTAAAATATATATAAAATCTTCTAACGAAATATCTGAAAATATTCTTTTAATATTTACTCAATATTTACATTATATTACAGATCAAGGACAGTATGTATCTGGTACAGGGATTTCTACTGTTGTTAAAGACGAGTGGAAAGTTGTTGCTCATGAAGTTGGACATGGATTTGGTAATTTGAAATAAATAATTAATTAATTATACTTATGTATTATTAATTAACTTAACATTTAATCTAATATATTGATAAAATTTAATAGGCGCTGTTCATGACTGTGTTGCTGGGAATTGCCCTTGCAATGGTTGTGACTGTTGTCCTTTGAGCCAAACAGTTTGCAATGCCGATAATAGGTTCATCATGAACCCAACAAGTAATGTAGCTACGAATGAATTCAGGTATCATTCATTTTTCATTCTTTTCTTTTAATAATTTTATGACATCGCTCTAACCTGGGTTTTGTTATAGTCCATGTTCTATAAACGACATATGTATAACTTTGCCAAATATGGATAGCTGTCTCCAAGGTTTACATACAGCTCTATTTATTTGAGTCAATTCACTATATTAAATATCAAACTAATTTAAATATAAATTTAGACCCTGGCTCAAAATCCATTCTTAGTCAATCTATGTGTGGAAACGGATTGAAAGAAGATAATGAACAATGCGATTGTACGTGTATTTTTATAATTACATTTGTTACGACCTATTAAATTTATAATTGGATTTAAAAATTATATATAGGTGGCACTGATTGCGATTCTGACCCTTGTTGTGACGGTACAACATGTAAATTTAAGGGTAATGCAGTTTGCGAGTAAGTAAATCTTTTTCATATAGATTTATTTATTTAATACGGTTGATTTACTAATTTAATCGTGTAATTTATTAGTGACATTAACGATATGTGTTGTAATAAGTGTCAATTCAAGCCTGCTAACGAGATGTGTAGACCTGCCAGTTCGAATTGCGACATTCCTGAATATTGTAACGGAACTTCTGGGGTTTGTCCATTTGACAAACATATTGACGATGGAACTGCCTGTGCTCCTAATCTTGCATGTGCTGGAGGGCAATGTACATCTAGGGATAATCAATGTCTTACACGTGGTAGTCGCTTGGGTATCAAAAAAGCTTGCTCGCTTTTATCTGATTCATATCCAACCTGTACTATGAGTTGTGCTAATCCAAACGACACAAGGTCATGTATTGAAATGAGTGGATTTTTCGTAGACGGTACTCCTTGTGGATTTGGTGGAAGATGTAACAAAGGACAATGTGGCAGTGGTACTATAGGTAAGTGTTTCTACAAATATATACATGAAATTTTGCTTTTAATTTAGATATTTACATTGTCCTTTCATTGTTACTAGGTAATAGTTTTTCAAGCTGGCTAAATTCAAATAAACGGATTATAATCCCGATTGCGGCAGTTGTTGGATTAATTTTGTTATGTTGGTACGTAAATTTATTCGCGTCAGTTACATATAGTGTTAAAACTATAACATTAATTAAATGCTTTTATTTATATAGTATATTACAGTGTGTATTTCGCTGTTGTAGAAAACGACGAAATAATGCGACAAAAATACGAATTCCTTCTCTACCTCCAAAATCGAGAACAAATAGTTATAACACTCATAACGGATATAATAAGTGGGTTGATGAATCCCAGTATAACGGTCCTTCATATGCTAATCATCAGGAATATAATAATGAACCAGTGCCTATGCCAACACCGGTACATCGACAAAATTCGCATTCTCCAGATTTTATGTATGCTGGAACAGGTCACATAAATACTCCACCGACATTACAAACCACTTTCCAAAGCCGAGTATCACCGTCACCTAGATCACCACATTCCATGCGTTCCATGGGCTCTTCAGGATCACCTCGTTCACCAAATCCCAATTCACCAAGAAACTTTGTGGAAGATACTTTTTATAATGGACCAAGGATTCCAAATTATCAAATAAACGAGGGTCAATGGACTGGATATCATACACAACCACAACCACAACCACAAATTTATCATTCACAAACACAACCATATACGGATGCACATTCACAACCACCGTTTTCACAACCATCACAACTTTATCCAGAACAACAGCTATCTCAAGAACCACAACCATATCAAGATCTTAGACGTTAATATAAGGATTTAATTAAATAATTATCTTTCTCCCCCAAAACATTGTTGTATTTGTACAGTATTTTTTCCCTTTTCGCACTTACAAATTTTTATATGTAGAAGTGATTATTTTACTTGCATTATATATATATTAAATATGTTATTTATTTCGTATCACACAAACGGAAAAGGGGTGGGCGTCTTTTTTTTTAAAAAAAAAAATAATTTAATAATTATTATGATTTCAATTAATACAAAATAGAATTAAAAAAAAGAAAAAATATTGGAAATTATCGGTAGCGCCATAAAAATTTATTGATTTTCTAATAAAATATTTTTTTTATAATTATAGTTTTGATTTTTCACTCATACTATTCAAAATAACGCAAGTTATGATTCATATTAAGAGCATTTATTATAAATAATCGAATTTTGATTTTATTCTATTTGAATCCCAATTCATGAGAAAATTAAAATTCTTTTTGAGGAAAATGAACTCGACTAATTACAAATTCAGAAACTTATAGTGATTTGAAAAACTGTATTATATAATAAACTGTAAAAAAAATAAAAATAAAATTCTTCATTTTGCAAAAAATATTCTATTCACATAATTTATACTATATTCCTAAATTAATATAAAACTAATTATTATCTATCAAAAGAAAAAAATTAATAAATTTGATAATGAGAAAATTCTCGAACCGCTTAAAAAAAAATTTTTTTTTTTTTACAAATAAAAAGGTAATGTTACTTAATTCTTGTTTTTATACCTTATCAATATAAATATACAGATACAAATTCATTTTAGGATTACGTCACGTTATAATACCGAATTCCTCCGAAAATGAGCAACATGTTTTGTTTTTTTGTATCAAAATTTTCTCTAGTGGTTATAGAATGATATAATTTGGCTCAATGGATTCGTCTCGATGAGCGGAATCGATTGGTACAGACAGTATAACAGATAAATCTTGAATAAATATTGACCGAGATACCATTTATTTTCGGAGGTTGTTTATTTCCGGATGGATACGGTATTTATATTAAAGCAATGTTAAACCAATGTATATCATCTACACCAGTGTTTGCCAAATGATTATGACTGGCAAATGACTCAAATGACAAATGACAAATGATCTGTCATTTCAATTATC